TTGTAAATAATCCTCCCATCCTCAGGTCCAGACTGTTGTAGATTATTCGTAACAGTTGATGCTTTGCTTGGTATTTTCTCTCCTTTCCTCCTACCCCATCTTTTCCTTTCTTTTACACTCTTTGTTGCGGTGACAAGTTCCTTCCAGAGGAAAAACGAGAAATCCAGAAAAGGTAGAGTACTTCAATGTCCCATCAGTTTTTCTTCTCCAGCTTGACATTTACCAACCCCCATATTCATTTGAATTAAGATTCTGTTTTGCTAGCTGCCTCCTGGATTATAATTCTGGTCCTCATCTAAGGCCAGGATCACCAGACACCTGAAACTAATCATGTTCATCTGAGAGCAAGGGAAGAGACTTTTCTCAGAAAAAAGGAAAATCCAGACAACCAACACTGCAGAGAACAGAGCCTGAACCCCTAAGCAACCTGCCAAGAGAACCAGAGGGACCAAATGAGGAGCCTTACTGCAGTTTATCATTTGAAATGCTTTGTAGGAAGAGGGAGGTAGGGAAATTATCATTTTGTTCGTGCTGAAAAAAATGTTTCTATCCTCTCTCTGAGAATGAGAATAGCTGAGAGTCTTTGAATTTTCTCTTGGATCTAGCGATTTTTAAGAGGTGGTTATAGAGGTCCAGTTCCTTAATGCATTAAAGAAACATGGTACATAATCTTTTATACCTAAAATGAAACAGGTCAGACTTAGGTCTTTTCCCCATCTATACATTCTCCTGTCTGCTCAGACAGTGCCCTCTCCTGGCTACCACATAGAAATTTGACATCATTGTTTGATTTAGTACTCTAATCTTGAAACTCATATTTTAACATACCTGAAGATAAAAACCTTCAGAAACCTCTTAATTTGCTTCTCTATAAATTCCCAGATTCCACCCTTGTGGAAACTAATAATTAGGCTGAAAGATTAACAAATGGTTCCTCTGGAAGTGACCACCTCATGATTTTTACCTTGGGTTTCCTAAGACTCTGAGAAATAATCAACCTGTTTATTATCATCTAAGGGTTGTCATCTCCAGCTTTTCTTCTGTGCACATTTATTTAGGCATATTATGGTGTTACCTCTACAGTGACTAATAGGTAACCATGACCACTTCCGGAGCAAGAGGAACAAGTATTTTAAGGGAGTTCTTAGGTCAGGAGACTTCCAGCTCTGCCATGTCTTCGTGTAATTAGATGTACTCTGGGAAATTTGGAGGAAATTCCTTTGTTTTCCTGGAGAGGATTAGATAGAATACAGGATCTCTCTGACACTCTTCCCTGCTAGAAACATAAATAGTGTGTCTTTGGAAGAGGTCTTTTGTTACTTTACTTTTGGAAAGAGAATCATACTGAGTTGACCCTTGAACAATGCAGGGAGTGGGGCACCAACCAGCCTACAAAACTCTGTGTATAACTTTTGATGCCCCCCAAATTGAACAGCCTACTGTTGAGTGGAATCCATACCAGTAATGGTTAATTTACACATTTTATATGATATGTATATATTGTATTCTTAAAGTAAGCTAGAGAAAATAATGTTACTAAAATCATAAAGAGAAAATACTACTATTGTAGTATTTATTATTGTGCTATATTTTCCAGTTACATATTGAAAAAATCCATGTAATTCAAACCTGTGTTATTCAGGGGTCACCTATATATTGTGCCAAGATGAAATCTTATGGCTTAAAACACTAATAAGTCTTGTGGACAAACTTAATTTTAGCATTCCATAGATAAAGAACTGTGAGCCCTAGTGAAGGGGTTCCTCACTCCCTTGCAGGCTTCTCAAATCAGTGAGGGACCTTGAACAGTGAAATTGAAATGCTTGTTTGAGCATTGCTTCCAGATACTCATTCATCCTCAAAATGGAAGTGAACATGGGTAGAGTGAAGGATTTTGGAAGCAGACAGTGCCATTTAGCTAGGAGCATTCTGAGAAAACATCTAGGTCTCATATATACTTGAGCCCTTGGAACGAAATTGGTCTGCTTTATGGGTGTTCTGCAGGCCTACTTGTTTAGTTCTTTGAGTTCAGACCTAGCACCTTTGTACTATTCTTTGCAATGCTGAGATGTGGCTTTCCCAAATTCTCTTGTAGAAACTTATAAAAATAGCTCGAAATAAGTAAAGTGCCTCCTTTCAAACATTAGACAGGCACTCCTTCAAAAACTTGTGTATTTGAATTAGTTTCCCCTTCCTTGTCTTTCTGGTCCCCTTTAAAAGCTTTATGTGATAAACTGCAGTAAGCCTTCATATTGTGTCTTTTCCCATCTTCACTGATCTCTCTGCCTTTCCTGGAAGGTTGCTCAGATGAGTCAGGCACTGTTCTCTGCAGTTTGATATCTGGGTTTATTTTTCTGATGTGAGCCTTTCTTTTCACTTGCTCTCCAGGTGAGCCTGGCATTTGCTAGGAACCAGAGTGGAACCGGCAAAGTGGCCAGCAACAGAGTCCTGATCCAAATGGAGAAAGGGAACCAGGCGAAACTCAACCTGGAGTGGGAAACTTGATAGGAGGTCAGAAGTACTTCAGCTTTGGATTCTCATTTTTTTCCTTTTTTAAGGAACTGAGTACCAGAAGGTGGAGAGAGAGAGAAAACATCAAGTCTTCAGTATACAGATTTTAGTTGTAGCCTTATATAGAAACTTCTGGACAGTGAAAAATAATAGTAGAATTACAGTTTGTAAGGAGTTACAGCCTAATGACAGTTATTTTTTTTCTTTAATGATTTCATTCTTAGAATATTCAAAATATTGTAGTGTAAACCAGTGAAAAGGAAGGGAAGATTGTAGTTATTTTGACCACCAATTCATTACTTCTGGTGGTAGAGTGTCTTAGTTTTTTTCCCTTTCTGTCAGGTTACTGATTTTCTAAGTTACGTGGTTACTTAACTTCCTTTTTTGGGTTGTGTCTATCATAAGGGTATGCATTTGTGCTTGCCACCAGTTGTGCGCATTCCTCTTTCACAACTCTAATGTTAAATACTAATCTTAGATCCAAGGCTGAAACATAAAAACAAAAACAAACTGCAGTTCTCAGTGAAATGCAGCTTAAAGTACATTCTGTGATAAAAGACAAACCACATAGTTTAAAGTACATACTAATTTGTAAAAGCATACTTATGTGTTAAACATTTGATAGTAACTTGATCTAACATTGATAGAGGCCTGTGCTTATGAGGGGAATTCTCTCTTTCTCTGCCTCCTTCTCACCCTCTGCCTACCTCCTCCCCTGCCTTGCTTACTCTTCACTCCTCTGTCATACATATATGCATATATATGAATTATAAACATGGATATAGAAAGTCTCACTAGCATAGCTTGATCTTTTTACAATTTGGAAACACGGAAGTAACCTTGCGTGTGTATATTTTTAATGCCTTACTAATGCACGAATAAGTTTGTTTTTAGTGGTCCTCTGCTTACAGTTTATTCACCTACTTCACTCCCTAGCAGTAGTGAAACTTTTTTTTTTTTTTTTTTTTGCAGAGGTTTTTGCTATAGGGCACGTGCACTGTCAGAAAGACAGAGACAGAAAGCGAGAAATCACCCCCCTGGGGGATGGCCACGCTGTAATCCCTTCTCCTCCATTCTTCTCTCGGGATCTTAGGCACACACTCACACGCGCCTGACATGAGTTTTAAGCCACCATGTCTGGGACTCGAACCGTGGTTAACTACATGAGAGTTCAGCAACATAGCCATTATGCCAACTGCTGGTCCCACAAAACTAGTTTTTGACTTCCCTTCTTGAATCTTTTGCGTTCAGGTGATATCATCATTGATTATTTCTTAGTAATGAACATAACTCTGGTACATTATGATTTTGTGGAGATACAGCAATTTCTATTTTTGTTTTGTTTTGTTTTGTTTTGTTTTGCTATAGGGTGTGTGCGCTTACCGAGAGAGAGAGAGAGAGAGAGAGAGAGAGATGAGAAATCATACTCACTAGGAATGATCATGTTGCTGTCCCCTCTCCTCCATTCTCCTCTTGGGATTTTGGGCACCCCTGCACACACGTCCAGCATGATTCTCAAGCCGCTGGGTCCAGGACTCAAACCACACAGTCAGCTCTGTGAGATACAGTGCATTAACCTCTAACTACCTGCTTCTTCACTAGTTTCTAATTTTTTGCCGTCCACTTTCAGGCTGTTACTTAATTATTTTTCATGTTCTCGTCACCTTATTTTGTTTTGCTTCTCTGTTTTATTTACTTGAATGACTTCTGGAATTCCTTTTTTCTTTTGGAGGTCTTTGGTAATAATAAACTCATTAGATAGCATTTGAATTATTACACCAACTAGTATTCTCCATAATTTCTTCTTACTGACAACTCTTTAATACACCCTTTATCTACCCAAATTGTTATTGATTCTTTAGTATCAAAAAATCTTACTTTCTTTCCTTTTTTCTTAGGTAAAATTAGGTCTGTATACTGATCTTACTTGTTCTTTCTAGATTACTTGTCCTTACAGTTTTCATTTCTGTGACTTGATGAGTGTCTGATGACTGTTTATTCAGTTGTGAACCTGCCTTCTGGTAGGATGTCATTTGTCTCTAGTTCATAAATTAATTTTCCTAGTAAGCAAAAGCAAGTACAGTTTTTTTTTAAAAGAGAGGTTTTTTTTTTTTTGTTTTTTTTTTTTTGCTACAGGGTGCTTGCGCTCACCGGAAACAAAGAGACAGAGAAACAGAAAGTGGGGGATGGCCACACCACAATCCTTTCTCCTCCATTTTCCTCTTGGAAATTTGGGCATGCACGTACACATGTCCGGCTTTAAACTGCCAGGTCTGGGACTCGAACCATAGTCATCTACTTGGGAGTCCAGCAGCGTAACCATACACCATCTGTTGGTCCCAAAAACAACTACATTTTAAATGAAGTTTTCTTTTTTTTTTTTTTTTTTTTTAGCATAAATAATCTGACATACTGCTATTTGAAATTTCTTACCCTATATACCCCAACTATAAGCAATGGAAATATTCCCTAATCCAGTGTTACTTACATGTTTCAGAGAAGAAGCTGTGGTTTTGGCTTTATAGCATATTAGGTTAGGAAACTATAATCTAGCTCCCTTCTTTAATTAGCTTTGTAACATTCCTCAGGTCATTAGTCAAATGGTTGGGTCTTTTTCCCATGATTTCAATTCATAAACTAGAAAAGCCAAATATCTTACTTCTCTGGGCTATTCTGAGAATCACTTGAGAGAATGTGAATTATGCATTAAAAATATAAAGTTCTGTACAGACGCAAAGTTTCAAACATAAAAAATGGTTTGAGTATTGCTCTATTATTAATTAAATTACAAAGATAAATATGTGGGGGCCAACAAGTGGCATAGCTGTTAGTCACAAGAGAATGGAGGAGAGGGCATTGTGGTGTGGCCATCCCCTGTTGGGGGATGATTTCTCTCTTTCTGTCTCTCTGTCTCTCTCTGCAGCGAGTGTGCCCTATGGCATAAACTCTAAAAAAGTAAATAAATAATAAATTAATAAATAAATTAATTAATTAATTAAAAGGTGAATGTGTGAAGAGGTTTTTATTTACCTATAGTAAAGATTTAACTTAAGGATTTCCTGAATTTTTGTGTAACAGAGAATGTGTTCTCTTAACTATGGAGTTCCTAGTCTGGACCTCTCTGCTGCTAAACTATCAGTGCCCAGTTAGGCTGCCAACACACTTGATCTTAACTTGTGTATGTCACTTTCACAGGTTTTTGTTTGTTTGTTTTTTAATTTTAATGTGTCTTCCTTTAAGTATCTTACACTATGAATTTGCTAGTGTTCCTATAACTTTGTACCATAGTAGTTAGATTGCCTGCCCATTTCTTCCATTTACCTCCATCCCACAGTGATTGAGGATTTAGCTTTCTGTAGGATAGTTGCTATTTATTTATTTATTTATTTATTTTAAAGAGAGGTTTTTTTTGCTATAGGCGCATGCATTCACCAGAGAGAGATACAGAAACAGAAAGCAAGAAATCACCTCCTAGGGTGAATGGCCACACTACATTCTCTTCTCTTCCATTTGCCTCTCAGGACTTTGGGCATGCACGCACACAAGCCTAGCATGAGTTTCAAGCCACTGGGTCTGGGACTCAAACCACGGTCTACTACATGGGAGTCCAGTAGTGTAACCATTACGCAGGATGGCTGCCTTTTAATTGATCTGAAAGCTTAGAAAAGTCACAGACACATCTTTGGTGACTTGTTACTGATCTTTCATTCAAAGTGCATACCATTGAATTTTTTCCTGCATATGTGCTTCGTCAAAGAATACATAAAAGAATACAGGAAGGAAACAACCTAAAATTTAATTGATAACTCTTAATCACATAGACATGTCAGTTTATTCTTGGATTTGTCAGTTTGAGACTAAAAGAATCTACTGTTACTGTTAGAGATCTATGAAATTTGTGTATGCTGTATTTTTTTGTTGGCCATACTTTGCTTCCTATGTTTTGTTTATCAGTGTCATAATACTGTATCTGCCTCAGTTTGTCATCTCTGTTTTTTCCCTGATGAGAATATTCTTTTAAAAAGTTTTTATCTCTGTACCTTGGTTTGTAGCCTTCTCTTTTATTAGGAGTACTTACACTTTGAGGTTGTCCTTTCTGTTCATCTTATGCTTATTAACTTTTTTTGACTTCCTTAACACATAGCCCCCTGCATTTTATCCATGAATATCCTCTTCTTTTACTTTGCCTACCCTATATAAATTATTTAATTTTGTTTTTAGATAATAAACATAGTAAAAGGCCAAAAGTACATAAGCTTTCTAGTGAAAAATTTCTATCTCATCTTTGTTCTTGTCACCCAGACCTCTCCTTACAGGCAGCATACTGGGGCATTATTAAAGTTAATGACACATTTTTGTATTGAAAACCATAGAAAAAATATGTTATGGCTTTTCAGACTATGCAATATTTATAGTATCTTGTGAGTTAAGTAAATTCATGCATATTCCTTTTAACTCTTTTAAAAAATACAATGCAATACCATATTAATATATACTGTTTTGCATTTTTGCTTCTTTCATATATTTCTTAGAAGATTATTCTATATCAATATATGAAACACTCCTTTTTCTGGTTTTATGTCAACTTTACCTTTTTATGAAATTTTATACACCCTATTTCTCCAGGCTCAGGAATTTCTTTTGGGAATTATTTTGAAATTAATATAGAATTCAAATGGTAGGTTATATGTGAATAATCTCAGACTCTTCCTTGTATGCAGCCAACTTTATTGTTATATGTAAATAAACTTTTAAATTCTAATTTAATTAAAATTATTTTTATCTTTATAGTTTGAATCAGCTTGGGTTCTGACAAATATTGCTTCAGGAAATTCTCTTCAGACGCGAATTGTGATTCAGGCAGGAGCTGTGCCCATCTTCATAGAATTGCTCAGCTCAGAGTTTGAGGATGTCCAGGAACAGGTAAATTAAACAAACACATGAGGAATAACACTTTTTTTCCTTTTGGTCATTTTTAAGGCCAGAGTTTCTCTATTTAGCCACGATAACCCATGATTTGTTTCAGGAGTGTTCTATAACAGCTGTCCCCAACCTTCCAGCACCAGGCTTGTGGAAGGTAATTCTTCCATAGCTACAGGGTGGCTGGTCGGTGTGGGATTGATCCTGGGATGTCACATGTATGCCATGTCCAGTGTGTACCCCCTTTTCACTACTGCCACATTATAGCATACAGTGAAAAAGTCACACAGCATAGGGTTTGTAATCTCATGAGAAGTGAGTGCCACTGCTAATCTGAGTGATGGAGGAGTGGCTATGAACACAGGAAACTTGCTCACTCTAACCCACTGCCCACCCTGCACTGTGTGGCCTAGGGGATTGGGAGGTGCCCGAGAGGCCACCAACCAACACCAGTCCATGACCTGAAGGTTGGGAACCCTTGTTCTACAGATCTAAATTTATCCTAAGTGTAAAATTTCTTATTGACTTTAGGCAGGATTTCTCCTAAATACACAAAACCATTTTTCTTTTCCAACCCTGAAATTCTGTAAGCCCTATAGGTACACTTTAAAAAAAAATTTTCAGAGAGCATTTGTGCTCGCCTATGAGACAGAGAGAGAGAAGTTGAGAAAGCATCCCCTATCATGGCGGGTGGCCATGCTGCAAACTCTTTTCCATTGCTGTTTTCAGGATTTTGGACACACACCATGTTTTTTAAACAGCATGTTTTTTCAGCTGCCAGGTCTGGAAGTCAAACTTTCAACTGGCAGTGTGGGATGCAGCTGTCTTAATCACCATGCCATTGGTGGCCCTAGATCTACTATGTAAGAAGTTACTGATAGGGACCAGCAGTTGGCATAATGGCTATGTTGCTGGACTCCCATGTAGTTGACTGCGGTTCAAGTTCCGGACCCGGTGGCTTAAACTCACACTGGGCATGGCACGTGTGTGTGTGTGTGTGCCCAAGATCCCAAGAGGAGAATGGAGGGGACGGAATTGTGGTGTGGTCATCCCCCCACCTCCCCGGCAGGTGATAGCTGACTTTCTGTTTCTCTGACTCTGTCTTTCTGGTGAGCTCACACGCCCTAGAGCAAAAACCTCCATCCCCCCCCCACCCCCAAAAAAATTACTGATAGAACTTTTTCTTATATAAATCTCTAGTGTTGATTGAAGTAGCAAGTCTTTGTTACTTTTGTCCAGAAAAAGATACAGAAAACATGAATTTTTGTTAACCTCACTTTTCCAAATTTGTAAAGGAAAATCATGAGTATTTTTAATGGTTTTATTGAGGTATAATTGACACATAATCAATTACACATACATTAAAAGTACACAATCTGATAAGCATTGATAAATGTATATGCCCGTGATTTCCATCATCATAATCTATGAGATAATTTCGTTCATCACCTTCACACATTTAACAGTTATGTGCATTTTGATTACTCTTAAATTCCCTGTTCACTCTTTTCTCTAGTAAGCAAACTTAAAATACATTTTTCACTGGCCAACTAAGCCACTTGTATCTCTGCTCCTTACCAAGGGCTGTATGGAATGTTCTTAAAGTTGAGAATGGGATCCTTTCACATCAAAAATTAAAAAAAAAAAAAAAAAAAGAATTGGTTTCAATAAGTAATAATGATACTGCTACAAATGTCCACATTTCCTCCTGTTTTATTGTACACGTTAAAATGTTATTTATGATCTTTCAAGCCCACAACTGTTTCATTTGAATTTAGGAGAATTAATAATGTCCATGTATAGTATGTTAGGTACTATCTGACTTTATAAAGTATTAATGTAATATGCTGGCATCTTTTAGAAAGAATTATGAGTGTGTTAAACTACATGTGTTATTAATGAATAATTCTTTCACAGGCAGTCTGGGCTCTTGGCAACATTGCTGGAGATAGTACCATGTGCAGAGACTATGTCTTAGACTGCAATATTCTTCCCCCTCTTTTGCAGTAAGTTTATTTTTAATTAAAACAATGTTACATTTTAATTTTTTTAGAATTATGTTATTTAATTTGACTATGAAGGGACAGAGTGGGTGGGGGGGGGAGTGAGAGAGCAAGTGCCAGGTCTGGAACTCAAACTGTGGTCTTTCACGTAGGAGCCCAGTGCCCTTAACCACCATACCACCTGCTGGGCCCTTATTTTTTTTTTTAAGAGAGATTTTTGCTATAGGGCACGTGTACTTGCCAGAGAAACAGAAACAGAGAGACAGAAAGCAAGAAATCATCCCCCTGAGGGAATGGCCGAGCCGCAATTCCTTTGCCTTCATTCTCCCGTGGGGATTTTGGGCACACGTGCACACACACCTGGCATGAGTTTTAAGCTACTAGGTCTGGTACTCAAACTGCAGTTGACTACATGGGAGTCCAGTGATGTAACCACTAAGCAATCCACTGATCCCATTTTAATTTTTTTTTTTTTAAGTATATTATAGGATTCACATGCTTGCTGGAGAGAGACTGAGACAGAGAGAAAGTGAGAACTCATCTTCCGTGGGGGGGTGGCAATCCTTTCTCCTCCATCTTCCTCTTGGGACATTGGGCATGCACCTACACACTCCTGGTGTGATTTTTCAAGCTGGATGGGCCAGAACTCGAATCAGGCAGTAGGCCTAGTGGGATCCAGTTAACTTCCGTGCCATCTGCTAGCCCTAAAATACTTACTAAAATAATAAAAACATATAGAAGTACCTCAGAAAGCACTACGTCTTTAGAAATAGATTTGGATTTTCTTGTTTTAGTTTTAATTTTAGACTGTTTGGGTTAACATGTTCAGGTCACTTTTTTGCGCACCGTAATCTTATTCAAGTGCCACTATTCTGAATTAGTTATATTAAACTCAGTGAAGTATTGTTTTTCTAGAAAAAAAGCTATATGGGAACATCTTCTTATCAATAGCATTTTATGTTTGTCTTAAGCTATCAGAGAATTAATGTTTGTTACATAGTTTCCTTTGTATCATCGTGCTTACAGGTTGTTTTCTAAGCAAAATCGTCTGACCATGACCCGGAATGCAGTATGGGCTTTGTCTAATCTCTGTAGAGGAAAGAGTCCACCTCCAGAATTTGCAAAGGTACGAACTATGCTTATGAGAAATTGGTAGGAAAAGGGTTGGAATTTTATCTGTTTTTATAGAAACAAAAAAATTTTTTTTAGGAGTTTTTTGCTATAAGGTGCATGAGCTCGCCAGAGAGACAGAGACACAGAGAGCGAGAAATCAACCCTCAGAGAGGATGGCCACGCCGCAAACCCTTCTCCATTCTCCTCTCAGGATCTTGGGCATGCACACACATGTGCCCAGCGTGAGTTTAAGACACTGTGTCCAGGACTCAAACTGCAGTTGACTACATGGGCATCCAGCGACACAGCCATTACGCCAACTGCTCGTCCCAGAAGCAGGATTTTTTTTTTTTTTTAAGGTTTTTGCCATAAGGCAAATGTGTTCACTGCAGAAAGAGAGGGCAAGTGAGAAATTACCCCCCTGAGAGTGATGGCCACACCACAGTCCCTTCTCTTCCATTTTCCTCTTAAGACTTTGGGCACTCATGCCACACTCTAGGCATGATTTTCAAGCTGTTCGGTCCAGGACTTGAACCATTGTCAGCCATATGGGAATCCAGCTCCTTAACCATCATACACTTGCTACCCCCTGAAACAGAGCTTTTTAATAATTGTTTGTTTCTGTTCTAATTTTGGTTCTGTTCTCATTTCATGTAAATAGTTGTAAATTCATCTTAAAACAATGGCAAGCTTTCTAACATACAGAATTTCCTAGCTTTGGCATTCCTTTATCTTTTTGGTCCATAGAGTGTATCTTCTCCAGGAGTCTCTTTCTGAGGATTACTTTATATACAACTTTGCCTCCCTGAAATTATTTTTCATGTGCTCTGACTACTTTGTCAAAGTAGACCACACAATCACTGACAGCATTCCCGAAGATGGGAATGCAACTTAGCCCCTTTGCTTCTGCATCAAGAGCTGTAAATCATCCTACAAGTCAGCAAGATAATGTCCTGTTGCTGTTTTTAGTATCTTGTCTCATTTCTGAATTTTATTGAATTTCATAATCATACCATTTTCCTTTTACAGGTTTCCCCCTGTCTAAATGTGCTTTCCTGGTTGCTGTTCGTCAGTGACACTGATGTACTGGCTGATGCCTGCTGGGCCCTTTCATATCTATCAGATGGACCCAATGATAAAATTCAAGCAGTCATTGATGCAGGAGTATGTAGGAGGCTTGTGGAGCTGCTAATGTAAGAAATGTTTAAGAAAATGTGTCTGCTTTATTTTCTCTGTATTCTTTCCTAATTGCTAATACTTTATAGTAATGAATTGTACATTATACTGTACATTCGTTGTAGTTTGGGCCCCTGCCTTTTGTTCTTTGTTTATGTTGATGTCAAATCTGATGTTGGTTTTGTTTTTATTTGAGGCTTATAAAAAGTATTCCCCAGTGCTCTGCTGTTAGCAGTCCTTCCACAGAAACATTTGGTAAATTGAGCTACGTGGTTGCAGCTCATGCTGGATGACCTGAGTTCAGGTTGGACATCGAAAGGCATATTGCCACTAAAAGTACTGGCATTCCTTATCTACTTCACTTAGAGCCGAATCTGGACTAGTGTCAGACATTGAGTCTTACTTTACTCTATCTCTTTGTGATAGCTTTGATGATAGAGTGGAAGATTTACTCATGTCATAAATAGTTTGAGACTATTAATTTTTAGAAGAAAAACTTTATAGAAGAAACAGGAAAGTTAAAAAATACTTTTTAAATCCTGAAATTAGGACTTAATATGTGTCCTCAGATAAATAAAAAGGGCTTTGTGGAGCCCTTACCTCTCACCTCTGTGGAAATTAGAAGATTTAGAGAACTGAATTGTACTATAAATGTTAATTATTTCCATTGTCTCAGCAGCCATTGGAGACCAAGTAAAGAGGAGATGAAACCTATACATGTTTCAGAATGAGAGAGAAAACTTTGAAATCCAGAGATTAAAATACCTGGGAAAGATTACTAGGAAAGATTGGTAGTGTATTTCTAAAAATATTAAAAAAGGACAGAACAAACCTTCTAGGGGACACCAAACATTCCATCATCATGGGAAAGTTCCCTTAATGGTACCATCATAGGTACCATTCTGCTTTAAAATCCTGTCAGATATTATTTTTAAAAAAATTAATTCATGGGGGACCAGCAGTTGGCGTAATGGCTATATCACTGGACTCCCATGTAGTCTACCGCGGTTCGAGTCCCAGATCCGGTGACTTAAACTCATGCCAGGCATGTGTGCGTGCGTGCCCAAGATCCCGAGAGGAGAATGGAGGAGAAGGGATTGTGGCTGGACTTCCCCCCCTGGGGGGTGATTTCTCACTTTCTATCTCTCTCTGTCTGTCTTTCTGGTGAGCGCACACACCCTATAGCAAAAACCTCTAAAAAAAATTAATAAGGAAAAGATTAAAAATAAAACTGTTTGCTATAACATTTTTTTTTATGGTTGCAGGCATAACGACTATAAAGTGGTTTCTCCTGCTTTGCGGGCTGTGGGAAACATTGTCACAGGGGATGATATTCAGACACAGGTATGGATAATTGGTAATTTTTTCCTTCAAAAACAGTACATTGAACTTCATGATCATTTTTCTGTTGTAGTGTTCAACTTCTTATTGTCAGGGAAAATTGATAACTTTGTTTTGCCTAATATTTGTTAAAATGTTGGCTTAGGCATTTAGTCTTGGTGCCTTCCTATCCCTGTCTTGACTGTTTCCCAGGTTTGGGTTCCCCTGTGATAATGACTTTTGCTTTTGGTTAGACAAATTTATTTCCTTCTGCTCCCATTTAGGTTTTGGTTCTTGTGAGATCGTAAGCCTCTAGTAGTGTCTTTCTGTTCTTGTTGTCTTTTGAGTTTTTTTCATGAGAGACAGAGAGACAGGCACCTCCAACAGGGTCTTCACTTTACATTCTCCCCTTCTCATCTAGCCAGGATCATGAGTGTGTGTGCGTTGTGTGTGCAGGTAGACATTGACCAAACCTGGACCTACTGTCTCATACAGCCTCAGAATTGCAGAGTGTTAACGTTCCTCTTGTGCCACTATGGCTTACCTCCATTGCCTTGATTTCTTCTTCTCTGATATCTTTTATATGTGGTAGGCTTTCTCTGTAGG